ATGGCAGTCTCTATGGGGGTGCCACAGGGTTCAATTCTTGGGCCAACTCTTTTCTCTGTGTATATCAATGACGTCGCTCTTGCTGCTGGTGACTCTCAGATCCACCTCTACGCAGACGACACCATTTTGTATACATCTGGCCCTTCATTGGACACTGTGTTAACAAACCTCCAAACGAGCTTCAATTCCATACAACACTCCTTCAGTAGCCTCCAACTGCTCTTAAACACTAGTAAAACTAAATGCATGCTCTTCAACCGAACGCTGCTTGCACCCGCCCACCCGACTAGAATCACTACTCTAGATGGGTCTGACCTAGAGTATGTGGACAACTACAAATATCTAGGTGTCTGGTTAGACTGTAAACTCTCCTTCCAGACTCACATTAAGAATCTCCAATCCAAAGTTAAATCTAGAATCGCTTTCCTATTTCGCAACAAAGCCTCCTTCACTCATGCTGCCAAACATGCCCTCGTAAAACTGACTATCCTACCGATACTTGACTTCGGCAATGTCATTTACAAAATAGCCTCCAACACTCTACTCAGCAAATTGGATGTTGTCTATCACAGTGCCATCCGTTTTGTCTCCAAAGCCCCATATAATACCCACCACTGTGACCTGTACGCTCTTGTTGGCTGGTCCTCACTACATATTTGTCGCCAAACCCACTGGCTCCAGGCCATCTATAAATCACTGCTAGGCAAATCCCCGCCTTATCTTAGCTCATTGGTCACCATAGCAACACCCACCCGTAGTCTGCGCTCCAGCGGGTATATCTCACTGGTCATCCCCAAAGCCAACACCTCCTTTGGCCGCAATTCCTTCCAGTTCTCTGCTGCCAATGACTGGAACAAATTGCAAAAACCTCTGAAGCTGGAGACACTTATCTCCCTCACTAACTTTAAGCATCAGTTGTCAGAGCACCTTACCGATCACTGCACCTGTACACAGCCCATCTGAAATTAGCCCGCCCAACTACCTCATCCCTATATTGTTATTTATTTTGCTCATTTGTACCCCAGTATCTCTATTTGCACATCATCTCTTGCACATCATTCCAGTGTTAATACTAAATTGTAATTATTTTGCACTATAGCCTATTTTATTGCCTTACCTCCATAACTTGCTAAATTTGCACACTGTATATTAATTGTATTTCTGTTGTATTTTTGACTTTGTTTTGTTTTACCCCATATGTAACTCTGTGTTGTTGTTTTTATCGCACTGCTTTGCTTTATCTTGGCCAGGTCGCAGTTGTAAATGAGAACTTGTTCTCAACTGGTTTACCTGGTTAAATAAAGGTGAAATAAAAAAATTAAATAAAAAATGTACCGATCCTGTGCAGGTGTTGTTACACGTGGTCTGCCACTGCGAGGACGATCAGCTGTCCGTCCTGTCTCCCTGTAGTGCTGTCTTAGGTGTCTCACAGTACAGACATTGCGATTGTTTGCCCTGGCCACATCTGCAGTCCTCATGCCTCCTTGTAGCATGCCTAAGGCACGTTCACGCAGATGAGCAGGGACCCTGGGCATCTTTCTTTTGGTGTTTTTCAGATCAGTTGAATGGTCTCTTTAGTGTCCTAAGTTTTCATAACTGTGACCTTAATTGCCTACCGTCTGTAAGCTGTTAGTGTCTTAACAACCGTTCCACAGGTGCATGTTCATTAATTGTTTATGGTTCATTGAACAAGCATGGGAAACAGTGTGTAAACCCTTTACAATGAAGATCTGTGAAGTTATTTGGATTTTTTATAATTATCTTTGAAAGACAGGGTCCTGAAAAAGGGACGTTTCTTTTTTTGTTGAGTTTATATTACCATCTTTAGACTTCCTTGTCCTCTCTTCTCTGGATGATGGTTGTTGCATGCTCTCTCTCTCATCTGATGGAGGGGATGGTATGGCAGACTCCTCCTCTGAATCCTCTTCAAAGAAAAATTCCCAATCTGGATCATCAACAGCATTGTCCTCTATCTCTGAAATGTCCTCTGTCTCTGCAACCTCTTCTTCTATTTCACTGTCACAGTCCAGAATTTGTGATAAGGCTTCATTGACTGAAAATGTTTTGGAGCTCATTTTTGAGTGTCTGTGTCAGAGATCTGCTGCTCTCACACTGAGAAGGAGAAGCTTGGGAAAGCTCCTTTTCACCCAAACATAATTATAAATGTGCAACCAGAACCAGTCAAAACAAAATACATCAAAGACACTTGTTTATTTTGGACCTGTGCAAATATCTATGCACATGAAAGCCTCCGGGTCAAAATGACCCACAACATCATGTTTATATACAAAATCTACACAGACATTCCACAACACATCAGTGTGTCCACATTTTGCAGTTAGGTTCATGGCCCAAATGAGGAAAAGTCATTTAATTTCATGGAGAAAAAGAGAGATTAACTAGTATTTTAGATAACTCAAAAGTGGAAATGGGTCAAATTGACCCGCAACATAATAGGAGGGTTAACAAAATACTCAGTCTGCCAGAGTGCAGAATAACTGATGAATTTACGAACACGCAACACCCGTTGAATATGGCCAGTGTCAGTAAACGTCGGCAAAAAAAGCGTAATTAAATTGTTGCCAGCAGCACAGTTAGTCACCAACGCTCTGGATAACATGAAAACAGCCTAACCAGCTCTGCTAGGGCGAGTGAAATGGTCAGTGGGGTGTCCTCTCATTTGTGTCTGGAAGTAGCTAGCAAGCTAGCCAATATTAGCCAGTTAGCTTGGGTGCTTGACTGCCGTTGTGTGGTCAGAACGCTCGGATCAACCCTACTCATCGGCCAGAGCGTCCAGAGATGGCTGGGGCTAAAGCTTAAGAGGGTGTGAATGATGCTGATTTGGTATAGACAAAGAAGAGCTCTCTAGTTCGTACCAAAACATTCAAAGGCCATTTTGTCAAAAGTGAGATTACAAGTTTATCAACTTTCAAAGCAGAATTACTTTCCCATTGTTCCTCTGAACGCTCCGAGAGCGAAACGAGATGGGTGGGGCTAAAGCTTAAGAGGGTGTGAACGATGTTGAATGGGTGTAGACAAAGAAGAGCTCTCTTGTACATACCAAAACATTCAAAGGCCATTTTCTCAAAAGTGAGATTATAAGTTTATCAACTTTCAAAGCAGAATTACTTTCCCATTGTTCCTCAAATGCAGTGTATGATATACCTTTTTGTAGCTATGTGTCTCTGTTTTTATGCAATGTAAAAAACAAAATTTAAAATGTGCTACATAAGACCAAATCAAGGCGGTCGGTCACAATTAATAACTTCACCATGCTCAAATTGATATTCATTGTCTGCTTTTCATTAAATTTTTACCCATCTACCAATAGGTGCCCTTCTTTGCGAGGCGTTGGAAAACCTCCCTGGTCTTTGTGGTTGAATCTGTGTTTGAAATTCACCGCTCGACTAAGGGACCTTACAGATAATTGTATGTGTGGGGTAAAAGTAATGTTAAACACTATTATTGCACATAGAGTGAGTCCATTCAACTTATTATGTGACTTGTTAGGCAAAGTTTGACTCCTGAACTTATTTAGGTTTGCCATAACAAACAGGTTGAATACTTACTGACTCAAGACATTTCAGCTTTGCATTTTTTATTAATATGTACAAATTTCAAAAACATCATTCCACTTTGACATTATGGGGTATTGTGTGTAGGCCAGTGACCAAAAAATCGCAAATTAATCCATTTTAAATTCAGGCTCTAATACAACAAAATGTGGAGAGAAAAAAAAGTAAATGGGTGTGAATACTTTCTGAAGGAACTGTAGGCAGATAACATTGAACAGAACAAGGCTATGTCAATAACTCAATTTTGACAAAAATGCAGATAGAATCTTATAGTCCCAAGCTCTAGAAGTGTCATCTCCCTGTGTCGTCATATCTACCACTCACTGTATGCATTTTATGATTAGCTGGAAATGAGGCAAAACTGTACTATGAAATGTATTTGACTGTTATGTTGTGGTTGTGACAGGTTTACTACGCAGCTCGTATCTGGGACGGGATGAAGAAGTCCTCAACCATGTCTGAATACTACCGTCTACAGGACTGTCAACCTGTTGTGATGAATATACTGAAGGAAATAGATGTCCCTGTCCTACAAGAGGACCAGAAGAGACAGACAGAGAGAGGATGGTCTAGCGATGGACAGTGCAGGTAGCAGTAGTGTGGCTCACAGGTTAATTCAGTGGTGATCTGAGGTCTTTGTTGTTGAGAAGAGGGCCATCTCATTGGAAACATATGGAACTACATATAGTTCAACAGTTCAACTTAGGTGGCTCTGGCTTTGTAACAGAGGAAGAAAAAGGGACAGCTGATCACATTCAGGTGTCTCTGTGATAATAAAGAACCCTGCTAAGTGATGGAAGAATCAGATGGTACAGAAGAATATCATATTTAGTTGTAAATACAGCTGCGTTTCATTTTTATTTCAAAATATGTGATTGTCTAAAGTATTTGTTACCTGTTCACCTGAAATGTTATGATTGTTTATTATGTAAAGATGGAGCTGAGATTCCAGACAAGACACTTCTGCAACTTGACAAGAATTTATTAAAATGTTATGTAATCATTAACATTAAACAGATATACTCTGTTATTTCTCCCTTCTTCTGATGTAAAAACATTAATAACATTCTAATAACATAAGAATATTGTAAGAGTATATAATCCTTTGTAAACCACAACCTTTACATTTCAGGCAAGTAATATTGATTAAATCTTAACTAGTATTATTTTCAAATCCAGAAGCAAAAATATTTAATGATTATGCAATAGTCTCAAAACTTCAGATTTGACTGTCATGGTGTTTATAGAATCCTTTCAAACTAAAATAATAGATTTCATGCAGTAGGTTATAGAGATTAAATTTGTATGAATAAGCAATAAGAAGCATAGTATTTTATGTATATTTTTGGGCAACATAAAGGCACTTATGAAAACACATCCCTCGATTGTGATAAACACAATCAAAAAACTATCTTTGACATTATCTCACTCATCGACCTTCAGTGCCTTCATCAGTACATTTTGTGCATCTTCGGCCAGCTCATTCAGACAGTTGTTCAGCATGTAGTAGGTGGTGCCATATGAAATGCCACATGCAGCTGTGGAGCCAAAGACTGGAATGGTACTCAATAAGTACTCAACCAGCATCAATGTTGCCCCAGTTGTTTTGGTCAGCATTTTGATAACCATGTCTTGGGATATCTCCTTGTTCAGAGGGGACTTGAGGATTGCTTTCAGCTCCTCCACTGGCACATTTGTTCTATCAGCAAGGCTCTTCAGAGACTCATTATCAAGACCAAAAGCCTGATAGTACATTCTGATCTCTCTTATCAAGATGGTTATATCTACACTAAAAGAGAGACCTGGAATTGGTATTACTGCCACACAGGCAGATACAAAAGCTGATCTCCATATGTTGGCTTGGAGATTCTCTTTCTTCCTCTGGTTGATTTTCAGGCTAGCAGCAGGACACGCCTCTTGTGATCAGGAAGTTCCTTCTCCATCGTCTCCACCAGATTGGGGAAATCATAGAGAGGTAGCTCAAAACTGGAGATGAGGAAGACCTGAGGAAACCCCTGACCATGATCTCGAAGTCCTAAGAGGAGCAAAGAAAATAACGTAAAGTACAACTACTACACTGATTTTAAAAATGTTCAAATTGGACAGTCACACAGATGAGCATCATACCAGTGTCTACATACGTGAAACAGCGCTTTTCTATGTTCTATAATCCCAAAAAGAAGAAAAGGTCCTCCCCCCTGGAAACTCATTGGAGTTTTTGAAAATCACATTTAAAACTAAAAATGTAATTTTCTTTCTTTTTTGACTACAGACACAGAAAAATAGTGATTTTAATATATGTGGACACTGGGCCACGTTCAGTTGCCAAATATTGCTAAACGTTGCAATTATAGAAATGCCATGAATAGAGCCCACATGTCGGAGAGGCATGTTTGTTCTACATAACATATTTATTTCTGAATGTTCCAAAAAACATGCCCCTGGCATGGTGCTGGAGATAATGAATATGTAAAAAACAATTGTGAAGTACACAGATTCCAGATTGTGGCTTTGAAATATGAAATGTCCAATTTTTGTTTGACAGTAATGTACATTTGCAGTATATACTGTACTCAATCAATGTGTTGTCAAACCTTCAACACAGTTCTGTCTGATATTTTGAAGTGTCTCATCCTGGTTAAAATTCTTCTTCCTTTTTTTTTCTGCATCTATGTTGCTATCGATCTTAGAGCGTACAAAGTAGAAACTCTTCTTCATTTCCTGGATCTTCTTGGCCAGGTTAACATCATTGACTCTGAAACGGTCTGACGAGACTATGATGAAGAAATCATAGCAATCAAATCCAACTTGCTGAAGGTATGTCTCAGGTTTGAAATTTGTGGTGCCGATACCAGGAAGATCCCACAATTTTACATTTTGATGTTTTGGGTGTTGGTAAGGCGTTGCCTTCTGAGTGGTCTCCACCACACCAGTTGGAGCAGAGAATTCCTCTTCATCCCCTAGGCCCCTGAGCACATTGATGAAGGTGGATTTACCAGAGCCAGATTCCCCTGTGATAGCAATATTCAGCTGCACATCACTAATCTTCTTCAAATACTCTTGAATCTTGCCTGCAGCTGAGGTCAAGCTCTCATTCTCAAGTGCTTCTTCAATTTGTCTTGCTGCTTTAATGTCATCTTCACTGATTTCACAATAATCATCGGCCATGGCAGTCTATTTCAAAGAAAATATAAAAATAAGCGTAAAGATATTTCACACTAACTAATATTACACACACAACACACACAAAACGATTTATTTTTTTATTAAAAATGACACATTTTGAAAAAGTGTTGCTTTAAGTTTACATTGTTGTTCATTTACATTTGGTCTCGAATGATTCACCAAAATGAAGGAATTTTGCTCAGGGGCTAGTCTTTCCAACACATTTGAATACCAGGCATGTATATTGCTGTAAGATAAACTTATAAAAATATGTCAAGACTTCAAGCAATATCGTTACATTACACTAATACATCCCACATTAGACTTGCTTACTAACCTTCCATGATTATTATAGTTAGAAACCTACCTTTTATTAACCTCAAGCTCTGATCGCTGTATGCAAAGACACGGTGCGTGAGTTCGTAACTTTCAATCTGCACATTCAACATGCAAACATTCCAGTTCTTGCTTTGACCTTTGAAACTGTTGAAGGTGTTGACTGTAACACCCTTTTATTTTTTATTTTATTTTTTTTACCTTTATTTAACCAGGTAAGCCAGTTGAGAACAAGTTCTCATTTACAACTGCGACCTGGCCAAGATAAAGCAAAACAGTGCGATAAAAACAACAACACAGAGTTACATATGGGGTAAAACAAACCCTGATCTGTTTCACCTGTCCGTGTAATTGTCTCCACCCCCCTCCAGGTGTCGCCCATCTTCCCTATTTTCCCCAGTGTATTTATACCTGTGTTCTCTGTTTGTCTGTTGCCAGTTCAGTTTGTTTCATTTACATTTACATTTACGTCATTTAGCAGACGCTCTTATCCAGAGCGTTTCATCAAACCTACCAGCGGTTTTCCCCTTGCGCCTGTCGTTCTCAAGTTCCTGTTTTCCAGGTTTTGACAATTCTGCCTGCCCTGAGCCTACCTGCCGTTCTGTACCTTCTCACACCACGCTGGATTATTGACCTCTGTCTGCCCTGACCCTGAGACTGCCTGCCGTTCTGTACCTTTGGGACTCTGATCTGGATTACTGACCTGCCCTTGACCTGTCGTTTGCCTGCCCCCTGTTTTTGTAATAAACTTTTGTTACTTCGACAATGTCTGCATGTGTCTTCTCCTGAAACGTGATAGTTGACACTGTACTATGATGTAACGTTTAATTCTTGGTCTTATAACAGTTATTCTGCCTATCAAGTGTTGCAAACAGCATTTTTTTTTATATATGAGGGATTTAACACAAGGTAATATAAACCAATAATAACAAGAACAAAGAACAAGTTGTTTAAGAAGTATTTTATTAAGAATGGTCCACCACCCAATTGACCTCCAGCCAACTTGACACAACCTTTGGAAACATTGGAGTCAACATTGGCCAGCATCCCTGTGGAATGCTTTCGACACCTTCTAGAGTCCATGCCCTGACGAATTGAGGCTGTTCTTAAGGCAAAAGGTGCAGGTGCAACTCAATATTAGGAAGGTGTCCTTAATGTTTGTACACTCAGTATATTCCATTTACTAGACACTTTTATCCTAAATTACTTACAATCATGCATAGCATACATACTGTACATCAGTGGCGGTCGGTGCCGTTTAAGATGAGGGCGCTAATAATTTTTATGAGCATGGCCTTATTGCTATTACAGTATATTGGTTGACTGTCATTCATATTCCATTCACCCAGCTCAATGTAACATCGATAGGTGTAAGCTACTACATGATACTCAAATTTTCCCTATACCCATCATGAGGTTGCTACAACTTAGCCTATGAATGAAAGTTTAAAACGTAGGTGCACACAGGTCGTGAGTAATCAAGGTGACAGACAGTGACACATTCAATACCGCCCTGCACACTCTTGCCTGCATCTAGCTGATCTAGGGTGTAATCAGTAGTCCAACAGTTATAAAAAATAGTTTCTATTGGACAAATTCAGGTATATTTATCCACGTTTTGTTCCGTTTCCTTCCGTTTAAGAAACATTTTTCAACAGAATCGTCAGAATGAATACACCCCTGATCACACGCAAACACAGTTCACCTTCATGGCAGCCATATACAAACAGCCTGATTATTTTGGGTTAGTTAAAAAAATCTTTGGGTACACTCTCAATGGCTGCCATGACCACCCCATTATGCCATCATTGACTTGAATGGGAACGCCCATTCTATGAATTCTTATTTCTACGCTTCTTATGCTCTCAGTCTACTGAGTGACAGATGTTCAGACTGCTTTAAGCATCACTCTCTCTGCGTCTTCACTCAGGTCATTGAGGGCAGATGTCAGAAGGTAGTAGCAGGCAGTGAAGGTGACCCCAGCTGATGCTACAGTACCCAGCACTGGGATACGTTTCTCAAGCAAAGAAGTTAATGTCTGCTGTGCTACTGCAACCTGGCTTAGAATACCTTGCACTTTGAGCTCTGAAAGCTCTTTTCCAGTTGTGGAGTGCAACTTCTCAAATAGCTGTATTGGTATTGACTTCTATATCACCCAGGAAAGAGTCATATTCTTGGGTACACAGTTCAGATTCAAGCATTAGCGGTTAAGACACTTTGCTGTATCGCAAATTTTTTATTAATCCACATACCATTCCTCTTGCTCCAATGTTATTTTCTATACCAATGTGTTCCTCTGCTCTGTGTGTTCCTCCAGCCCATTCTCAGCCCCTCCATTTTGGATCACCTCATCAACAACGACCGCAAGTTGCCTCCAGAGTACAACCTCCCTCACACCTACGTGAATGCAGATCAGTGAGGGGCCAGCAGGGGGCACTGGGCAACAACAGTGAAGTTTACAGATTACTACACAGCTCCAAAGGAGAGATGTTGTACTTCCTGTAATCCAGTTTTACGATTCACTCTTAAAACATATGTCTGTGTTTGCATAAGGTGTTTCCATACTGTACATTGAACCTGTTTCTACTGTTAGATTAATAACACGGTCAGCTATCTTTTTGAATCAGACTCTTCAGATCATTGCCTTCACAGTGTGCCGCATGGTCATTGTGATTCAAGACTGGTTCATTAACATCAACCTCTATAGGTAACCACCCGACCCATCTGGGAAAGTTCAATAGCACTGAGGCTTTAGATTCACTGAGGCTTTTGATAGGGTTTACAAATCAGGTTGGGTAGGATTATTATTAGAGCATAATATTTATTGTGAGTGCAAATATTTGAACTTTTTTTGTAGACCCTCGTTTCCCATCGAGTTTTAGCAGTTAATGAATAACTTTAAACTGGAGTTGAAAGACAAGAACACTGAGGATGTCAGATGTCACAACAGTGTGAATGTTCTAATGTCATATTCATGTTGTCGTTGTAGTGGTTGTTGTGCTGTGTGAATATTCTGACCAGGTTGTATGAAGTGTCTCTGTGGTGATGATGACATTGTCTCTGGCCAGGTTCCTCCAGACCAGGGATGGGCAACTCCAGTCCTCATGGGCCTGATTGGTGTCAGACTTTTGCCTCAGCCCCAGCTAACACACCTGATTCCAATACTTAACTTATCATGTTCTTCAGTTTAGAATGCAATCAGTTTAATCAGCTGTGTTTGCTAGGGATGGAGGAAAAGTGACACCATTCCGGCCCCTGGAGTTGCCCATCCCTTCTCAAGAAAGCAGAGATGTTGAAGCCCCCACCCCCTCAGCCAGCCACGACAGCCTGGGCTCCTCTGGCAACGACAAGGACCAGAGTACTACCCACACATAGGCAGGGTTAGGTAGGTTACTTTCTAAATGTAATCCATTAGTTACAATTTACCTGTCCAAAATTGTAATCAGTACTTTTGGATTATCCAAACTAAGTAACGTAATCTGATTACTTTCAGTTATTTGGGGGAGTACTTTCCCCTTAAGAGGCATTAGAGGACGACAAAGAGGATCCATCTAACGCATTTGGTGTGTCATCATACTGGTCTCTGACATAAACTTGCCTTTTTTAAATGGTGAATTAAATGCGATTGAGAACAGAAAAGTGTCATAATGCATTTTTTCACAAACATAACTTCTGAATTTTTAAGTAATCCAAGAAGTAATCATCTAGTTTTTCAAAAGTATCTGATTACAATATTTTAGCTGGTAACATAACTGATTACAGTTCGTTTTTTTGTAATCATATTACATGTCACTGATTACATGTAATCAGCTACTCCCCAACCCCACACATACATTAGGTCACACACACACACACACACACACACACACACGCACACACACGCACACACAGGCACACACAGGCACACAGGCAGACACAGTTCCGGCTCAGTTTACTGAACGTCACTTATGTATTGCTGTTGTTCTGTTGTCTAGTGTTCCTGCAGAACAAATCTAGTTGAGATGAGTTCTGTCCCAGAAACCTGAAGAAGATGCACATGGCAGTGGACAAGCTGATGGCCGACTCTCATCTGAAATACAAAGGTTAGACTGGAGAGAATTTACCAACAGGCTTATCACATCATTCACATATTTAAACACTATACTATTGTGTTGTTTCTATATTATGATTCCAGTACGTGCATCTTTTTGAAGGGTGAGAAGTGCAAAGCAGTGACATATGTCATTAAAAGATCCCCATAAAGTGTGCAGACATGGGTTTAATTAGCATGTATTGACTGATCATCTTTTGGTTTCTATATGCAGGCACTTTGTCCATGCTGGACTGTAATATTTTCCCTGGTCTGGGCCGGAACTACCTGGAAACAGAGGTCAACATGTTCCTGCTGCCCCTCATGGAGAATGAGGGGGAGGACGCGCTAACCAAAGCAGGTCAGAGCAAATACCATGTCTTAGTTTTCACACACGTCGTGGATATTCTCCTCTCAGTCCTTTGTGATACTGATTACCCATGTTTGTATCTTGGTGTTTGTTCTAGGGTCCGGGGCCGCCCCTCTCTTCTCTCTCCTCCCGGGGTACAGAGGACACCCCACCTTCTCCTCTCAGGCCTCTAAACTCTGCAGCCAAATCCTGGCCATGTCCTGCTGTCAGCAGTCAAACAATATCCTC